TTGTCAATGTTCAGAAAATAATTTTCTCCATTGAAATTGGAAGTCATTTTCCTTAAAAATACTCTATTTTTCTTTTATTAGAAAAATATTTTATGTTGATTGATTTTCCTAAGCATTCCAAACATTAGGAAAATCTAGAAAATATTTTTCAGACAAATTATTTTCAAAAATAAATAGAGTCTAAATATGAAATAGAAGTAATGTATACATGAATATACTGTATCTCTTTTTGTTTTAACTAATGATTTTTTGAATTCATAAATATATATTAATTCAAATATTTTAAAATTAATTTTTATCACTAACTTTATTATAAATATATGCATTTTTCATGTCGTATGGATTAAAGTTATATTCCATGTTTTATAACTTATTATGTGTTGGAAAGAATGATGCTTTTATGAAATTTAAACTTTAATTCACAAGTGGAAAAATTTAATCTGAGTGTAAATTCAGAAGTGGAGTTAACAAATCTAACGACATGAACATCAAGAAAAGAAACTCCATTTAACCTCGTTAGACCAGAAACGACAATCCTTACGTTGTATCAATGTGGAGTGTCTAGTTTAGCTTCTTGATAAAAAAAGAAACCATTATATCCAGACAAATAGGGTGTGTTTTCTAAACTAAGAAATTTGCATCATACTTAAAAAGTACTTTAAGATATTAAAAAGGAACAGGAAAATAATGAGGAAATTGTAATTTTCTTTTTATGGTCATTTTTCGCTCTTGATTGGATATAATGAAGGAAATAAAATAGATTTTATTTTCTTTTGTTTGGAAAGAAAGAAATTTTAGAGAAAATTAAATATTATTGTTGGAAACTTTCAATTATGTCATCACTTAAATAATGGAGTATTTAAAAAAGAGTTTTAAGTTTTTTTGAGTATAATATATTAGGATTTCATTAAAAACTTCATATCAATACAAATAATGCAAGGATGAGATAAATCTCTCTTGAAGATCAAACATAAAACAAAACTATTATAATTAAAACAATTATTATTCACTGATCGAATAAAAAATCCTAACAAAAATTGGAAAGTGAACTCAAAAAAATTAACAGATTTTCAAAGTAGTTGGCTAGATAAACTCCTAAATCTTCTGTACATGACCTAATATCTATGAACTAGTTGTTTATGACGAACACGAGGATTTGAGCCACTAAATCGAATGGAGAAACAAACCGTACTATCAAGCTCCAAAAGACAAAGATCATCGTGTATGTGAAAAATTCTCCACAAATTGCACATCGGTCCAAAATAAACCAAAACAAATGGAAAAAAAAATTTAAAAAAAAACTCCACACAAGATGGAGAGGTCACAAACTCCGCGCAAGATGGAGATAAACCATGAAAAATAGCAAAAACATCAATAACTTATATTTGTGCCAAATAATCATAAATCTGTAACTTACTTAATAAAAAATAAAAAATTTGCAACGAAATAAAAAATAATAGTGAAGGGCTGTCACAAGAGAAAAAAAAAAAATCCCTCCCTATATCTACATGTTTAGTTTTTGTGTTTTGTGGAGAAAATGATACGAAACTAGTCGTAGACTTGCACTTCGCGTGCGGCTATATATATATATAACTAGTCGTGATTTCGCACTTCGAGTGCGGGTGTTTATAAATTATTTAAATACTTACTTTTATTGAATTATGCTGCTATGTCGAAAATTTTTTATTTATATTTTGTATTAAAACTAACAATAAAAATGATTGAAAGTAATTCAAGTAAAATCTATATATACATGTATTTTGAGTAAACTAATTTTAAAGTCACAGTTATCTATATGAATATCTATTAATTAAAGTCCCCCAATGGCTTATAAAAATAAAAAAAATACTAAATTTATAATTATCTATATATTTATGAATTATGAATTAATTTAAAATTCAAAAATTTAGAACATTTCAAAATTATAATTATCTATATATCTATTAGTTATAAATTAATTTAAAAAATCATACACTATTAAGTGCAAATAAAATAAAACTAAAAACAAAAATCACCTAAAGTGTTTTAAGTTTTAAATAAAATCTCAGGAATTAAATGGTTAATTAATTCATTTGCATAGATCTAAATTTCAATTAACAAACATGAATGGAGGAAAATACGTACCTCAGAAAATAAAAAAGGTCACAAAAAAAATACTAAAGAAATATAAAATTGAGTAAAAATCCTCTTCCAAGAGGAGAGAGAGAGAGTTAATAGATTAAATGAAAGAATGTCCTTTCTCTCTAGCTAAATGAAAATACGCGTTGAATTTCAGTTTGTTTCAGCTTCTTATATATATATAAAGGATTTAGATAAACTTTATTTTAAAATAAAAATGAGAAATAGAACAATTAATACAATTTATTGACTAAAAAAATATAAAAATTGAGCAAATGACCTCAAACGTGTTTTTCTAATATATAAGTTATAAAAGCATCAGCACCCTAATTATAGTTTTGAAAAAATAAGAATAAGAGATGAAAAATATAAAAATTCAAATTTAAATTATAGATATAGATAATATAATTTTTTACAAGCGATATAGTAATTTTTAAAAGGAAATTATTAGATATAATTTTTAATATTTAGATAATAAAATTAAATTTTAAATGATAAGATCAACACTTTAAATATAATTGATTAGGTATTTGAATTCTTAATATATTAATTTTATTTTATTATTTAAATTAAATAAAATAAACAATCAAAACATTTAAATTATTAGATGTCATAGATATATAAAATTTTTTACAAGCGATACTAGTAATTTTTAAATAAGAAATTATCTTAGATATAATTTTAATATTTAGATAATAAAATTAATTTTAAATGATTTAAGATCAACACTTTAAATAATAATTGATGTAAGTATCTTGAATTCTTAAATATATTTAATTTTATTTTATTATTTAAAATTAAATAAAAATAAATCCTAGGAATTTTCTTTCACAAAAAATAAATCTTCATGTTTTTTTTTTTTTTTTTCTTCTATTTTTTTTTCTGTTCCATGCTTCCAACATTTTTTTTTTTTTTTGTTCCATGCTTCCAACATGCATGCTCAAGTTGTTGGCTGCACAACACATGAGAATAGCATTATCATCAATTCTTGGAAAAGTCACAGCGTTCTAACTTAAGAATCATCAATATTTAAAAAAAAAAAAAAAAAAACTCAAATTTGTAAAAACTTAAATATACAAAAATCAGTCATCAATTATTATTGGAATTGTGCTAAATTTACATTTTGTTTGCTTTATGGCAAAATAATTTGAGCTAAAAATTAGTTGAAAATCCTTCCCTTGAGATTTAGAGCAGCAATTAGTGTGGGTAGTAGAAATATCTCTAGCTTTCAAGAGCAAAAAACTAAAATTAAACTTGTTTATCTCCATGTCGACATATGCCATAATTTCAGAATCAAAAGCTTTGAGATTTTCAAAAGTATATATATTTCAGCTTTGCGTATAGTAGGCAATGCAAAACCAAACAATGAATAAAATCTCTACCATAAAATCAAAGCATATTTTACCTCTCTATATACAAAAATTTGAAACTTTTTAAGATTTTATATTATTGATAATAAGTAGTTTAAAATTTTTTACGTTTTAAAAATGGAAATATTAAAAATGAAAATATTATAAAAGTTAGTTTAGATTTCAAAAGTTATCATTGTTAATTTCAAAAGTTAGTTTACATTTCAAATATTAATTTATGAAAAAAGGAAAAATAAATGCTCAAAAATTATTAAAAATTTAAAATATATATATAAAAGAGAGAAAAAGCAATACTCAAACATGGAAGTGAAACATCAGTTTTGTAAAGTCTTTTTTGGTTACCGGATTATATGTATATATAGAGAGAGAGATTTATAGATAGATTTGAGGTAGTTAAATAATTTAATAAAAGTTAAGTAAAATTCTCATTTTTTTCTTCTATTGTTTTCTCTTCAAATAAAAAAGACTCAAAATATGTAAAGCCGAATGGAGACTAATTGAAATACTACTTTCAATGCTTTCTTCCTTTCTCCGACTAATTGAAATACTACTTTCAATGCTTTCTTCCTTTCTCCGACTAATTGAAATACTACTTTCAATGCTTTCTTCCTTTCTCCGACTAATTGAAATACTACTTTCAATGCTTTTACCTACTTTACAATGCTTCTCACTCTGCGCTTTACTCACACACATCACATACTCGTTTCTATCTAGATATATCTCATTACCTACTCAAACAACAAAAAAACCAAAGGCTTAACGAACGGCCCATATGAGATTCAGACCAAAACCAAACATGAATTTACTTCCACAATATGTACCTAAGACATGTTAAATCCAATTAATTTTAAAAAGAAAAAAAAATAAAAATTTAAAATTGTTTTTAAGTAGGCTTCAAGCTGCCGAAGGCAAATATTTCAAATATAACTTTGTCATCAAATTTAAAATAACTTTTCCATAGAAACAAAAAATACATGCTAAACTACTTTCAATGCTTTCTTCCTTTCTCCAACACCAAAAAATATTTTCTTAAATATTCTCCATAATTATTAAAAAAAAAAAAACAAAGGCTTAACGACGGCTATTGTTTTTGCACAACATGAATTTACTTCCACCTATGTACCTAAACATGTAAATCAATTAATTTTAAAAAAGAAAAAAAAAATTAAAATTGTTTTTAAGTAGGCTTGCTGCAAACAATATTAAAAAATTGTTACAAATTTAAATGATTTCCATAGAAACAAAATACATGCTAAAACAATATGAGAAGGAATAAGCAAAAGCAATTATCAGTCTCCATTGAAATCAAACTATCTCAAGTTAGAATAGTATTAGATCCATAATATAGGTAGTAGGTGCTCAGATTCAAGTCAGGCAGAAAAGGTCCTTCGAAAAGAAAAGAAACCTTTCTGTGTTTGATAGTCCTAACCCCTGTCCACTCCTGTTCAATGTGAGTTTGGTATAATAACATTAGCAGTCATAATATTAATTATTAAACGTAGCGAAGAAGAATAATATCTTATAACATCAAAGATGATAATATAATTGCAATATGCTAAAAACCTTCTGACATTCTAAATTTTTGATGTGTCGTGGTTAACTTACATGTATTTGATCCACGACAATAGTCAAATTCATCAGAACTAGTTAGTCTTGGACAAAACAAGTGGTATACAATAAAATTTTAAGAACTCCATAGAAACAGTAGTAAATAGTGCATGCACACACTAGAGTGGAAAACTTAGTAAATTTTATCTCTGAACCTAGAGAGAGGATTTCATGAAAATTCGTGGAAGGACGTCATATAATTCTCGAACAGACAGTATTCAAGCAAGATGTCGGCCTTGAGCTGAGGTCTCTGCCTCACCATTACTCGATCCTTTGGCTTACATTTGGGCTGAAGGATTCAACCCCCTGCTCTCCCAACTTTTGTACATCCTCTGGGGAAAGTATCTTGATATACCAAACATTATTCACAAATGCCCTGCATTTAAACAAGAACAACATAAGGCAACAGCACGATAAGTGTAGTCTCTCTCTCCATGAACAAAAGGCAAAAATAACACAGGCTAACAACAACTATGGGTACTTACTCCCACGGGTCATCTCCAAGGAGAAGCACATCATTCTCCCTGTCGACAAATACAAGCTGCCAGCCTGATCTATGAGGGTTTTCTAGCTTCCCCTCGATGCCAAACATCTGAGCCAGTTCCTCTCGCAGCTCGTGATAGCTGCTGAACCGGGAGATGTCCAGTGAGCGCCCAACTGACCCCGACTTATATACCTGGAAGAAACACAAGCACAGGATCACTTACCTGCCCCTGTTGAGCTACAAAAGGCAGAATCAAAATTGGTTGCTATCAGATCATACCTTGACAAATGTTCGACTTGAAGTTGGTGGGTCAACTTGCCCTGCACTCTGCACAAATTCAGAAGAGTCTTGCACACCACCATACATAGAATTCTGAAATCCAGAATCTCCTAATGGCATTGAGGACACATCAGCATCAACTGAAGAAGTGGCAAATCTGGGCAGTGTGGTTGGTAGTAGAAGTCCAGATGAATCAATATTCACGCCAAAATTGGTAGCATTCTGGGCATCCAAGTTGCAGTTTTCTGGCTCCATAGATGGATCTTTCTCAGGATATGATCGTGGGAGTGACACTGAATTGGTAAAAGCATTGACCTGAGAATGTGCATATTTTTGGACCCAAGACTGTTGGGGCAACTGCTCAGTTAGTGTAGTTAGCGTAGATTGACCAGTTCTGGTGAAGTCCAAAAGATTGCCACTGCCTTCAGCACATAGAGAACCTAGCATGTTCTGTATAGGGGTGGTTGATGCTGAGAATTTGGCACTCGAGTCCATGAAATCTGTTTTTGAAAATGATGGAGAAGGCACATTCGACTGTTGTCTCTGGAGTTGTTCACCTTGAATCTGAAGCGCATCGTGATAGTTATGTTGCTGTTGCTGTTGCTGTGCCTGTGCCTGATCATCTGGCTGATTGTTGAGTTGTTGCTGCAGCAGATGCCGAGGTAAGGCTTCAGTTGAAATCTGGTTTTGTACCTGCATCAAATTATGAGAGTTTGATTGTTGAATTGTTTGATGTTGCTGTTGCATCTGCAACATTGGATAATGGTTGCTTGATTGTTGAAGATATTGGAAAGGCTGCTGAAACTGCATGAATTGCTGTCTCAGGGGATCTCCATTTCCCATATTCTGCAAACCACTAGCCATCATAGCCTGATACCACTGGTTCTGATCATTCCCTAGCAATGCTGGATCCAGCCTCTGCTGCGTCCAGGGAAACATATTAACAGCTTGAAAATTCAGAGAGTGAAGACCCTGTTCACCAGTTCCACCCCTTAGCCACATTAACCCGTTTCCAGCTTCATCTCTGTTATCTGCAAAAGAATGAGTTTTAGGGAGGGAAAGTTCTGAAATACATAGAAGAGGGGCAAAGGGAACAGTAAGAGATTATTGGACCATAGGTAAATAAATTGTCAAGTTTCTAGGCCTACCCGGAAGCATGGACTGGATATAAAGTGAGAAAATTCTACTATGCACAGCCATTATCTTAAGAGCAGTTCGAGTTTTACCATTCAAATAGTTCAAAGCAGCACACAGGTTTCTTTTTCCTCTATTAAAAAGATATCGAATTTACTTCAAACCATTACAAAGAGCTTGCAATTGAATATTGCAAGAACGGAATTCAAAAGAATGTATACGACTTGAGAATATAATTCAATATAAACTGAAGCACAAATTTTTCTTTTATCGGTGGGTGGGTGATGACAGCATTCTCCAACGGAAAGACACCACACCAGCTCAAAGTTCAGTGAGCAAGCTACAAAGGTACAACACTCTGAACACCAGAAACCATTTTTGCACAGTTAACAATGTCAATTGCAATTTACTATTTCACGGAGGTCTGCTAAAGCTTGTAGATGACCAGGAGTTGGTAAAGGGAATGACATAACTGATCATCTACTTGCAGTCCACAGTGATCTCAAGTTCACAACACCACTCAAGATACCTTATAGTAACAGTGAGATGTACAAAATAAAGGGAATGAGGTAACCCTAGAAAGATGTGAATGCCTTCAAATAAAAACTAAAAGCTCAAAATAGTATTATCAAAAACATAAGAAAATAACTAAATTGAATATTTATAGATATGCACAGAACCACTCATTTTTTGACTACGATTACTTCTAAATAGAAGAATTCTTATTAACTGGTGACACACTAAGTAAAGAAACTAGAATTTCACTCGTGCAATCCATTGAAGAAAATCTTTACACTGGCAAAATAAAAATACTAAATGAAAATAGAAAATAGGATCTCAGACTGCATCCCAACCCCACCCAGGGCCCACCCCAAAAAAAAAGGAATAAAAGACACTCCTAAAGCATAAGTCCACATCAAAACCAAAAACACTACCTTCTCTCACAACAAAGTAAAGGACCGCCTCTGATTTTTTTTGAAAATGCATATCCAAACCGATATTCTCAGGCTTAAGATTAGCAATTACTTTAAACAGTCATTTATCATTGTAACTTTCCTGGTTTCTTGAGTCAATAAAAAACTCAACTAAAGCATTCCTGAAAACTAAAGGCATTCGGATTGTCTTTTGTTTCTTTATATATATGTAAAAACATTTTCCTTCAACTATGCAACCACTGCAGTTTGATTGTAATTTCAAATCCCTAAAATCATACTGTTAATCATTTCAAATTGTTAACAAGCAAGCTTTCAGAAGGAGAAGATACCAAAAGATCCATAATTTAAAGAACTAATACCATGCAGAGATGAGGGCCCAGGATGCCAAGGTCGTCTAAGTCTGAGGGGAAATAGTGATGGGTACATGGGGAAAGTAGTTAAAGGTTCAATCTCCCACAATGACACCCTTGGCTGTCTCTCACCTGCTGTTGACTCATCCCAGCCAACCTACATGCAAAGGTTAAATGAATAAAGAGGAAAAATAGAGAATAGGAAATGGAGGAAACGACAATGAGTTACATAGAATATTAGCCAAAAGTCATCATCTCAGGCTACCTGTTACGAGAATCCATCAATCACCAAAGACGCACATAGTATAAACAAGCGAACAAGAAGAACATAGAGAAAGAAAAAGGGAACTTGGACAGTAAACTTTGTTGCTTAGCAATTGAACCCCCCAAAAAAAAGAATGAAAATGGAGTTCACATTAGCTATATAATTAATCTTTAAAAACTTGGCATGCAGTTTGACGAATAAAATTACAAAAAGGAGCAGAACCTTTAAAATTAATAAATGCGTGGGCTATTACAGAATGAAAGCTTTAGGAACCATCATATCAAATCCGGCTATTTTGGTTTTTAAAATGATATGCACGACAGCCCATTACCTAGAATTTGTGTTGGTTTGAAATTCTGTGTAATAACCATCATCTCGAATTTAATATTTCTATAAGAACCAAAATCTTGTCTTGGATGTGACCTGGAATTTATGGCTCAATTAACTATACAACATACGTACTTCAACAAATAGGAAAATTTTCAGATAATAATTTCAAGGGCTTCACAAATGAAGACCATTGAATAAGCAAAGCAAGGATAACTTCGAATCCTTAAGCACAAATGAGAGAAGTACAAATGCCAAACACACATAACATGTTCCAGAATGTTAAAAAAATAATGGCATGAATAAGCAAGCTGCTATTCATCCAGAACATGAAAATGAAGTCCAATTACCTTGACAGAACGCCAATGAGAATTTGGCCAACGAACAGGATCCAGATCACTTATGCCTGTTATGGTGCCCATGTACCTGACAAATAAAATTTTGCATATCAATGAAACAGAACACGCATATCGAATGATAAAATAAGTGGTGTACAGGCAACAGGCAACCAGGGGCATAGCAAGCAATTTAAATTAAAGGGGCAAAGCTTTTAAAGAGAGAAGCAAAATGGTTAAGTTTGATAGAAAAATCTAGCAGGTTTTGGGTTCAAATCCCAGGACCCGCATTTTGCTGCTGCATGGCACTGTACACGGGAAGCACTTAAAACATTTTGGTGCCACAAACAAACAGTGACCAAATTTATCACTTAAGAGATAAACAATGTTTCATCACCAGAAAATAATCATATGTAACATTCTTATATAGATGGCCTCATAAGTAGGGATGGAAGTGGGGGATGTACCCATGAATTCTGAACTACCCGTATTTGTCTCAAAACTGTTTAAGTACCCGCATCTGTACCCGAATCCCTTTAAAATTTTACTAGCATACCCATTCCAAACCGTTTCAAAGTACCCCTTAAACAAGTAACATACTCACAAATTTTAAACTATTGGAACTGAACATGTTTAAAATATCTTTTTTACTTCTACACTATTGGAACCCGAACATGTTTAAAATACCTTTTTTGCTTCTAAACTATTGGAACCTGAACATGTTCAAAATACCTTTTTTACTAGAATATCGCAGGTCCTCGAAAACCTATACTTGTACCCATCAAAGTCGTAATTTTATTATCTGTATCCATTCCAAACCCATCTATAGCTACCTAAACACTAATCCGGGTCAAAGCAGGACGGGTACCTTAAATACCGGCCTCGCTTCCATCCCTAGCCATAATTTGAGAGCCAGCCAATGCGCCAAAAGATCATGTACACATGTACGCAGGTGACGCCATCTGATTATAGCACAATGACATAAAAAATGCCTCTGGATCAGATGGTTCACTTCCCCATGACTAAGTTCAGTATAGCTAATCAACATATTGAAGATAAATACGCAACATGATAAGTTGGATTTCTAGCAGACAGATCACATTACTTAGATGGCTGTCCACACAGAAGAATTCATCAACAATGAGGATGGCTAGGCAGCACAAATACTTAAATCATGAAACTGCTAGATCTTAAAAATTACATAAAAGACTAGAAACATGATATGAATATCATAGTAAACTATCAACTACCATAATACCTACGGACACTTGATTCTTCAGTCTCAAAGAGCATTCGGAAGCGCATCCCAACTGAAACACGCGTGTGAAATACTGCTTTGACATATTTGGAAAGAGGTATAACGAACTCTGATGGACTAGCCCTGCAAAAAGTAAACATGTTAAATCGAAAGTTAAGACCTTAAAAGAAAAGTAACTTAGAACATAATGGCACCTTGGATTATAGAAAACAGTAAAACAGCTATTGGTTGCTGCGGCATGAGCTGCAGCAGCGAGAAGTCCAATGTGCATACTATCACTGGATAACACTGATGATGGCATTACAGTTTGTGGTCGAGTAGCCCGGCGAATTCCCAAAAGAAGCTGATTTTTCTCATTCCTGATGACAGCAATTAACAGGGTTAATTGCACTGACTGAAATTTTCTTCAATGAGAAATAACATGATATACCAGATGAAAAGAACAGAATCTCCAGCCACAAGTCTTTTGGCACTAACAAATACACTCCACCCTGTAGTAAGCAGATGCCTTTTGGGCTGTCCTGCGATATGAGAAAGGAACAGAAAATGTCAGCTTGAACTGAAAATTATAGGTGAACTTAGGCAGACAATCTGACACAAAAAATGACATCACCATTTATAAATGGAAATGAATCATCAAAAGCAATAGAACAAATCTAAGGTGGTCAGCTTTCCATAAATCCTCAGACCATGGTTCAACAGGCAAAATGGAAGGAACAGGTCAATCCACAAAGGATGTTACAATGCATAGAGCAACATTTAAAACTACCAATTCAAATACTGTACAAGGAGCATTTGCTTAAGTGGAAAAATGTTAAAACCTTAAAGAAGTCAATGGGTTAGAAAATTAAATTTGACCAATCTCAACCTCCCACAAGTCAACCATAGTGACAGTAGTACAAAATTCAGCACATACTATGGCACCACATCCCATTGGCACATATATTGAAGTACCAGATTTAAAGCACAAACAACACTCAAACTTGCTTCTTACAATAAAAGGAATGTGGTGCCATCAAAAGCAGTAGAACAAATCTAAGGTGGTCATATTTCCATAAATCGTCAGACCAAGGTTCAAAAGGCAAAATGGAGGAAACAGTAAGTCAATCTACAAAGAACATCACATAATGCATAGGGAAACATCTAAAACTATCAATTTTAAATACTACACAAGAAGCATTTGCTTAAGTGGAATACTGTTAAACTCCTTAAAGAAATTAGTAGATTAAGTTGACCAATCTCAACCTCCCACAAATCAACCACATTGACAGTACACATTTATTGTAATACCAGATTTAAAACATACAAACAACACTCAAACTTGCTTCTTACAATAAAAGGAATGTGGTGCCATCAAAAGCAGTAGAACAAATCTAAGGTGGTCATATTTCCATAAATCGTCAGACCAAGGTTCAAAAGGCAAAATGGAGGAAACAGTAAGTCAATCTACAAAGAACATCACATAATGCATAGGGAAACATCTAAAACTATCAATTTTAAATACTACACAAGAAGCATTTGCTTAAGTGGAATACTGTTAAACTCCTTAAAGAAATTAGTAGATTAAGTTGACCAATCTCAACCTCCCACAAATCAACCACATTGACAGTACACATTTATTGTAATACCAGATTTAAAACATACAAACAACACTCAAACTTGCTTCTTACAATAACATATAGGGTCTCCTGGACACAAATACATTACCAATGAGATCCAGGTAGATTTGAGGCAGATGGATCAATATAATATAGAACATCTTTTGTTTATTTTCACCCCATTTCTAAAAAACAAAGGATATCAAGCAAGATATAGATAGACTTCGTTTCAATTTACAAATGAACCGATCACCATCTCCATAGACTCATAGAATTTGTTTCTTTGTTTTTTTTTTTTTCTTTTCCTTTTTGAGATAGGGATTCTTCATAAATTAACTTTACTTTCAATGACGGGTTATCAATACTTGTCATCCACACAAAGCATTTAAGGTTTAACTTTAAATGAATAAAAGTTTACCTTCAATCTCATACCATATATAAAAAATTAAAATAAAATAAATAAATAAATAAATAAATAAATAAAAAAGCAAATTGACTACAGAACTTAGTTCCAGAAAGTGCTTTTGCAACTAATTTTCAGTCTATGAAAGTTTTTTTCCTTTTTCTGCAGGTGCATTTTCTGACTTTCCTTCTTCCACTTTTGGTAAGTATTCAGCTTGGTTATCTCATTTTTTAAAACTAACATGGAAGTTATGCATTTCTTCCCCTGAGAAAACCAAATGTTTATGTTAATGTCTGTTATGTAAATAATATAGTCGTTGCATGTGTCTATAAAGGAGGGCACAAATTATTATTGTTTTATTCAATTATACTACCTACTATTTGTGTTTTTTGTAATAATCGCAATGATAGTGGAAAAACACACAATAATTTCAGTTCATGACAAATTAATCAATATTAGCTTAGTAAATATTGCAATAAAAAGTATAATAACCAGAACTCCATATTGTTACAGTTTCCTTTGAAAATATTGTTCATATAATTTCATAAAACTACAAGTTCACGAGCTCAAACATCCAACAATGTAGAAGCATATAGCTGAATGATTATAATATCGAAATTCTAATACAGCTTGCTTCCTTCAATTTCTAACGTGTCTGTAGACACGTGTTAGACACATATGCTAGAAATTATAATTTCACATGCGCATGCACACAAAAACACTAATCAATATAAGAAAATGTGCATACATCTGTGGCCATTGTAATTTTCATTTGTATCATTTATTAAAAGAGTCTAATTGTTAGGTATATAAAGACAAATAATTTTAGGTTCGATTTCGTTTGGTTTCCAAAGTTGTTTTTCTTTCATTTTGGTATTTGTTTATTACAAAGTACAGGTTAAAAAGCAATCTTCAGTTAGTCAACAAAAAGCAAGTTATGTCAAACAGAAAATGGAAATTTAATTCTTGTCTTTTAGTTGGAAAGTGTAATTATACAATTCATCAGTAGTCTGCTATATGTTACAATTAGTACTTAGCAGAAAAAGATTGAACTAATTTTAGTCTTCAACTAATTGGGTTGCTAAAGTCGTTTTGCATTTGCTATTTTGAAAGCAAAGCTCAGAGAAATGTTTAATTAGTTAACAAAAGGCAATGTTTAAGAAAAATGATATTACTTATTATATAAAGAAGATTTTAGTTTGCTCTTGGCATCTGTCTTTCCCTCTATGCATGAAGAAAAATTCTTCTACTCACGCTTATATATAAATAAAATAAACAAGCACATATCCATGTAGCATGCTTCTAGGCCTCTACATCAGGCAAATTAACCTGGAAACAATGGTCTTGGGACTTTAAGCAGATCTTATCAGAAATCAAATTCTTAATAATTCCTCAGCTCAATGCACAAATAAAACCCGTAAACTAACTTGATATACACAATTAAGTTCTTCTAGTTATATTCCATTCAACTCTTCCATTTTCTCGTTACCCTTTTCTTTTTTCTTTTTTGTTTTCCCGAACCAACTAACTACAAATTTCAATGATTTGTTACATAATAGCCAAAAAGCAAAGAGAAATGGTGCATATAATAGATGGCCCTCCTCCAACCTTTAGCAAAGCAAGCAGTCTCATTCACCAGGGGCCTTAATAGGCATGAGATGAATGATATGGCAATAACTTTTCTTTTAAATTCGTTTCTCCTTTTGGCAGCTCAGTATCAACAAAGCTAAAGCCTACAATTTTTTCTTTGATAACATCAATATTGCTCTTTCCCCTCCATGACCAGCAATAATCCCCATTACAGACAAAAATTTTAATTGCATTTGGTAATGAAATCCACGAAGCTAATGTCATGGTCTGTTAATAAATAGAATGATTGATCCTAGCAGAGGACACCTCACTTATAATTTGTACAGTTGTGGCAATATAATTAAGATTTCTTGGTTCATTTGCATTTGAAGATTCATAATATCACCAGGGAAGAGAGACACATACATGTCTAGAGACAGAAAGAGAGAGACATGACATGGCTGTAAATATTTATTAGTGCATGTGTGAGAAGAGAGAAGAAGAAATGAAAAATGTTAAGTTTTTTCCATAAATATAGCTAGTATACAGCACCAAAAATTTGTTTGTTCTTTTACAACACACATCTGCAGCCAATTGAATTGATTTGCCAAGTAGAAGTTCTGGAAATTTTTAAAGGTATCACCATGTCTAAAATATTATGGAAGCTAAGAATGGTGAAGGATTGCTTATAATGCGAATAGCTGATATGCATTAGGCTTTGATAGCTAATTCCTTTTTAATTTTTCAATTTCCTAGATCTTAAAATCCAGTTTTCTACAATTCCATTGGCTTGTACAATTAATCAAAGAAAGCACCGGACTTTCATAGTGAGTTATTTTGAGAGACTGTTTCACATTTTTGAACTTTTGAACTAAAATATAACAGTGACCTGGTGAAAATCTGAACAGTTAAGTCAACAGGACACAATTTTCAAAATTGCACAATTCTATGAACCCTCAAATGGTGTCAAGGTCACGACTTGCAACACTTTCAGATCAGGTGAAAAAGAACATGTTAGAGATGCAATTAAGATATTTACAGTTTTCTAAATTTAGAAGTTTTATTATTAAGTTATATTTAGTAGTCTTCCTATTTAGTACTTCTCCTATTTTATTTTTGGTAGGAGATCTACTGTTTAATAGTCTTTCTATTTAGTAATCTTCTTATTTAGTAGTTTCCAATTTTTATTTTTGGTAGATCTGCTATTTAGTAATCCTCCTAGTTAGTAATCTTTCTATCTAGTAGTCTTCCTACTTAGTAGTCTTTCTATTTAGTACTTTAATTATTACTTGTATTCCACTATAAAATGGAGGGCTTTAGGAATGAAATAAAACAAGCAGAATTATTTTCACCTAAATTGGAATCTAGACTCTCTCTAACGAACCTAATGTTAGAGCTCCCTTTTAACGAGCTTGCAATTTTCAGCAACAATAGGTTGAGGAAAGAATCAAGCCAAAACAAAAGCTTTAGCTTTTGAATCAGATTCATTGTTAACAGACTCGTGATGAGATCCTGCTTGTGTGAACATAACAGAAAATAATACACTTGAACTTTCCAACAAGTGAAATCATAAGTAAAACACCAAAATCAAGGGAAACTTTAAGTATCCTCAGTAGGTATCAAGGTTGCAACTTGCAACGCTAGAATAAAGGAACACCTAAAATCATCTTATACTAAATATTTTGCCTTATGCAAGCTGGAAAATTGTGCAACAATCACCACAGATAACACTGAGATGCAAAATAATAAAGCTCATGTTAATATCAATATAACTTGTTACCAAAGAGTTATGAAAAACATTTCCACCAATAATTTCTAGTCAAAACGTTACATCCTGCATTTGGGATTGAGGGCACATTCCTTTTAAAAGGAACAACTAAACCAATAAAGCAGTTGAGAGGAAGAATAAAACACCATTCGCCCTCTATCACGCAAAACACAAAAAACTAAATTTTGTGCCAGCGCAGTTACACACCCCCCCCCCCAACCCAACCCCAATTCATCCAAAAATACAAACGTTAATGACAGAACGCAAAAGAAGCGTTTTCCTCCAATAGCCAAACTACCTTACATGAGTGATGGAAATAGTTTCAATGTGAATTCTGCATGACAAGGCTATAAAGGAAGTTGGTCAATGGTTTGCTAATAAATTTGCGATTTTAATGACACCAAGCTGGAGACAATTCATTGACATTGCAAAAGATTTATTTTAGCCGAATGCAGGCAGTCCTTTCGTTATTGATTGCAATAACTCTTAAGGGAATGTAATAATTATTAAAAATTCTAATTGGAACCATACAACAACATCAGGGCTGTTATTATACAGATACTTTAACAACAAGCACATATTAACAATACACACGAGACAACAAAAATAAATAGACAAAGACCATGTCAGAATACTGCTGATGGCGAAAAACTCCAATACCTACCTCGGAATATGTGCCTGAATTTCCATTCAACGTCATGCAGATCCCTTGCAATAAGTTCCTGAGCTGGTGGCTGTTGCGAGAAATCCTGGAAAAACCCAACATTTTCATTCATTTAAACATGAAAATATGATGTCATTACCATTAGTTAAATGTTTTGAAGCAATAGGAAAAAGAATACCAGGGGAGGAAAAACTTTCTCTGCAGCACGACGAGGAACAGAAAAGCCTCCATGTGTACTTGTATCACTGGCAGTCAATGTCTTGCAAAAATAATTAGTGGGCTGCTTGCTTGGCATTCCCAATTCCATGGGAAGAAATGTATCTTTTTGCTCTTGCTGCATGTGACATGATAACAAAAATTACTAGGCATATAAATAAATAAATAATCAAACTATAATGCAAATATAATGACTACTATGAGTTGAGAATAGATGCAGAATTACCGGTGTCAATGGCTGTAAAGTCATCTGGGCATATACTTCATCTGTTTCAACGTCTGCCTGAAATGCCAAACATAGTTCATTTTCACTTTATTAGCTGAACTAAAGCACAAATAATTTGAACAAAAAGTAAAGACACTTAGTTATTGTGTTGGGGAAGAGGGGTGTTAAATGAAGGGAGGCTGCTAATTGTAAAAGACCCACGTGCATAGTGACATTGTGGAGTTGGCATATCAACTGGGGCGGCAAGCTTGGGTAATTGGGTATGTGCCCATCAACTTCCTTGTTAGTAGTGGCAGCCACCTGCAATTTCGTTTGAATCAAATTGAATGAGTTGCATGTTGTGCATTATTTAAATAAATAAATGGACCAGGATCACTTTGAAGCTACACTAGTAAAGAGACTTAAGAAAACAACACCTGCTCACTATGTCCCTGAGGGAAATATACCACTCTGCTACCCACAGTTGGTAGGGACACCAGTGGTCCAGCGCAGGCATGCCATAGCTCCGAATTCAAACATTTCTTTTCCCCTATAATAAACCCAGTGCAAAAGAAATTACATTGATACTTCAATTGGTAATCACGTACATTGAGAAAGCTTAAACATCCTCTTACATTAAATGCCAAGTTTAATGAGAAAACAACAAGGCTGTTAGTTATATAAAACAAGCAGCAGAAAATGGCTAAAAAAATGGAGGAATTAAGAATTCCAGAAAAAAAAAAAAAAAGACAAAAGAAAATGAAAGAAACAGAAATGGATACCTTCATGACCCTGCTGACCTAATCCTGATGTTGAAAGCTTCATCTTCCACCTTTTTCCCCCTCTTTTTGTTGTCAATATATATATTTATTTATAAATTATATTAATTAATACAAATATTAGCTATATAAAACCCTCACTCACAGCTACCATAGTAATAATAGTAATCATCTTCCAATCCAACAAAAAACCCTTGCATTCTCTCATCTCTGCACTTCTTTACCTCAAATCCACACAATAGACTTCTAATGTAAAATAAAATTAAAAAATAATCAAACCAACAATTAGAACTTCAAAACCCTAAGAAAATAAAACCCTAAGAAAGAAAAAGAAAAAAGAAAAAATCATGAAACCAGATCAAACCAAATCCAAAGAGATCTTCTTCTATACTAGTTCAAAATCAGTTATTTCCGTAATTTCGTGAAGAATCAAGCCCCAAAATAAGGCAGCACGTTCTTCGAGATCGCCATGAAAGAGCAGAGAAAGAGAAGGAAAGGAAATGAAAAGAAAAGAAGTAAACTATCACTATCTTGGATTGAGAAAGAGAGAGTGTGGCTTCAGCTTTGAACCTCACTAGCAAGCTAAGAGAGAGAAAGAGAGAGCGATGTCAGTTCTCTCTCTTATAAGGGCCCCGACCAAACTGGACCTGATAGCAGTAGAGAGCAGAAAGAGAGAGAAAGAGGGAGACTGTAAGAGGGGAGGAAAATGGAATCTGGAACGTTGAAAGATCCGTACAGGAAGATCGTAGCCGTTGGTTCGGTGTGATATGACAGCAGGCATGTGCCACCATCCTTCAGCAGTCGTTGTCAGAGTACGGATTATATAAAAAAGAAAAATATTTTAAAAATTAAAAATAATTGAATAAAGAATGATGGATAGATAGACTCTGAAAGACCGTGTGGTGACTCCCATCCCATTCCTTCCCATGCGTCTTCATTTCTTTATTATTTTTTAAAAAATCCATCGAGGAATATGAATTTTTAAAACAAAACATGACATTTATTAACGTGTTTGGACAAAAATAATTTGAATGTAAAAACTGTTCAGAAATCTGACGTGATTTAGAAATATTTAGCAAAATACTATTGTTCTTTTGGTGAAATTTTGATAACATGAAACTTCAATTATCTTCAACAAAACTGTTGCACACTAATGATCCGATTTATTTTTGGAAATAATTTACTTTTTGAAAATATTTTCTAAAATATATTTTTCACATAACTTATTTTTTTATTATTCGGTTAATATTAAAAATTAATTAAAAAATATTAAGATCTTTAACTCATAAGACTATATAAATATTTTTAATAATATAAAAATATTTAAAAATTTTATTATTAAACATGGAAAAAAAATGATAAATTATAGAAGTTGTAGATCAAGTTGTGGCTGGTAAAGAAGAGTGTTGTAGTAGCTACCGATGATTAATAAATTAAAAAACGTGCATTTATCAATAACTTAAAACGTTATTAATATCCAGAAAATATTTTTCTCCCCTGAAAATGGAAAATCATTTTACTTAAAAAATAACTTCGTTTTCTTTTAATAAAAAAAATATTTTTCCTTGTATTATTTTTTAAATGCCCTGATTAATGAAAAATTATAAAAAATATTTTTCTGCAATTTATTTTAAGAAAACAAATGGAGCTTCAATAAATAAAAATTATGAATGCTACTGAAATAACAGATTTTTGGACTATTGTTTTTTAATCTCAATATTTTATACATGTCATTGTTGTCATTAATTGATTGTAGAAATTTAAAAAAAAAAAAAAAAGTAATGCTTAAAAATTGATGCGAATTTTTTTTCGCAAGTATCTATTGAATTTCACTAAAAACTGAAATTAAATAATGCTTAAGACAAAGTTGGTGTTTCTAAAGCATTCTTTGATACCATTAAATAATTTAAATTAAATGATGCTTAAGGAAAATTGTATTAGTCATATGCCCTATAACAGTTATATTTTGGACATAAAATTTCATGTAATAAATATTTTATTTATTTATATTATATATAAAAGTGGAAATAAGGGAGAATAATAAGATTTTCTATATTATCCGTGTAGAATTTAAGATACTATAAAATAACCTTTTGATAGCTAATTAAAAAATTTTAACATAAAAATATACATATAAATAGTATCTCTATAATTTGATTGAATTTTTTTAAACTTTTTTTAATAGATAAATACATATAAATAATTAAGCATTTGAAAATTTGATAGCTAATTAAAAAAATTTTAACATAATAAATACATATAAATAAAGTATCTCTATATATTTGGATTGAATTTTTTAAACTTTTTTTAAATAGGATAAATACATATAAATAATTAAGCATTTGAAAATTAAAATTTTACATTATTATTTTATTATGTCTAATTATTTTTTATTTATTATATTATTATAGTAAATTATTTATAAAATTTAATAATTTATTATCATATTTTATTATTTTATTTTATTTACTATTATTGTAATTTATCTTCAAACATTATTATTTTAAATGGATATTTGTAAAGTATTTGAGGCATGTGGAACATTTTTATTTTTTTAAAATTTTATATTAAATAAAAAATTTTAGATAATTAAGATTTTGATATAAGAAATGATATGGATTAAATTTTTTTTAATTAACAAATATGCAACTCTGAATTTGGTTTGGCCAAAAAATAATGATAAAAAAATATTTAATTTTAAACATCTCAAATTTGATTATTATATTGATATCTATTAAATTTAAATCATATTCAATTTTATTAAGGAATATAATTTTATTAATAAAATTTTTTTAAATGATAATCATGATTTTGATTGCTAAAAAAAATAAAAATAAAAATTATTAAATTATTTAAAATATTTAATTTAATTTATTAGTTAGTTTTAAAATAAAAATAAAAATTATTATTATTTAAAAATATTTAATTTAATTTATTAGTTAGTTTCTTATTATATTGTTAAAGTATATTTATTTATTAAAAGAGATTATAGCGATAGTTATTAACAAAACATATAAGTTAATTATAAAATGTAAAATAAAAGCTATATGATGATTTTTATAAATTAATTTGGTACTTGAACAAAAAATAAAAGCAACTAGTGTATAATAAAAATTATATGAATCAATATGTTGAAGAGAATATAAATAACATATTTCATATTTAAATTGTAATTTTAAGAGGAAAAATAAATATATCATTTTTTCAATGAGATATTACAGTGCAAGATATATAATTAAAAAATATTTACTGTATATATAAAAACCACTATATTTATTGTAATCTAAATAAGAATTTATACTTTAACTATATAAATAAAAATGCTAAAGGAGTATAAAAAATGAGCATATAACCAGTATAGTCAACATGTATCACACGTCATGAAAAAAACTAGTTATTAATAAAAGGCATTCTTTTTTATCTTTTATATTCTACTAATTGAATTTCGGTTAAAAGATAAAGTCCATGAGACTATATTGCTTTGCAAAGTAAATTGCAATATAATTATAATTATGAGTTTTATTTTGCATTAAAGTAATGTTTCTAAATATTTCTAGTCAATGTTCCCCTCGTTATTGAATGATGATTGAAACTTTTGAAACTAGTACATATTAGTTTCTTTCTCTTGTGAAGGAAGCAATTGTTCTCATAATTTGATATATAAGTGATATCTAGAACTAATATGTAGGTACTTGTTATTTAAACAAATCCATTAAATTGACCTAAATGAAAATTTTAGATGAAAAGTTACGTGTGTCTACGAAATACTTAAATGATGGTTGTGTAAGTGATCATTTGACTTGAAATTACTAAGATATCTTATATAAAGATAATTATATTTTGATTCTTTATTCACATTATTCATTGATGGAGAATAAGTAATAAAGAATTGGACATGGCAGGAACCAAACGGAGATACTTGTGTAATTAAGTTAGGATTTATCACTCTAGGTAAATTAGAAAAAATGTTCTAATTCTTCTCTATTAGTATTGATTAAGAAATCCTTGTGTAAGGGATAATAAAATTAGCAAATTAGATTTGAAATTTCATTCAAATGATCAATAGCTAAAATTAAGAGAACTAATATGTTTTAGTAAAATAAATATATTTTATGCCTAATTACTAAATCAAAATATCAATGATAAAGGATGTTAATTACACTGATAAATTATGCACTGAAATGTTAAATCAAATCACTATTGACTTTTCAAATATTTGGGTTATCATGGTATGTTGATAGACAATGGTTTTGACCTTCAAATATTAATTAGTTAGTTAATTAAATTTATTGCCAACATATTTGAAACTTAATGGGTCACAAATATAAGAAAAGATATGAGAAAGTAAAAAGGAGAAATCAAATCAAGTGTGACTTGATAAACAAATGAACTTTGGGACATATTAGGGCAAAATTATAATTTACATTTGATAACAATTTTACATGAATTATTAAGTATTAATTAACTTACATCTAAAATTTATTTATTGAATTAAAATTTAGATCACATAAACCTAAGATTTAATTATAATTTATTTATTTAAATAGTTACATAAATAAATATAATTAATTATATTCAAAATCCTAATACTATAATATTATGATTTATTTATATATATATATTTAAATAAATAAATATAATGATTATGATATAAGGATTTCGTATAAATAGGTTTAAGGAACAATCTAAAGGTTGATAGCCACTAATATAGAAACACAGACGTAAAATAGCTCACCATTATACTACTTGTTCTCTCAACTCTCTAAAATGATTTTAGAGTTTTTCGATTGTCTGTTCGTGTGGATACTATTAGAGGTCAGGCAATTGGACAGCTTATAGTTTACGACAACCTAGCCGCGTAGAACGAAGTTTCTAAGGATCAATATAAGAAGTATTTTTCTAAACAAATTTTATTGCTTTAATCGTTTAAATGGATCTTTGTTTATATTGTAATTTGCTATAATTATTTTATTTCGTTGCGGTTTATTGTATGATAAACCTAATAAATTGATGGAGTTAAATTTCAGAATTTCATTCTATATCGACTTGCTATTACAAGGAATGACCTCTCTAATATATAATACATCAGTTCCTAAACTATAGGAGATAAACAACGTAAAAGAAGGAGGATTACACAAATCAAGTATATCAGATATTCTAAAGATATACATTCTCTAAATACAAAAAACAGACGTAAAAGAAGGAAGGATTACACAAATCAAGTTAATAATCAGATATTCTAAAGATATACATTCTCATAAATACAAAAAAAACAAATCTAATCTCTTTAATACGACTAAATCTCAACACTTCCCCTCGAAGTTGGTGATGAATATCCGAATGAATATCCCACATTCCCAACTTGTCACGACATTTTAAGAAAATCTGACTTGTCACTGCTTTAGTAAGAATGTTTGCTAATTGGTTTTCAGACTGAATCTTATGAACCTTTAAGGCATTATTATCCAGCTTTTCCTTGATAAAAAATCTATCTACCTCTACATGTTTCATCCTGTCATGTTGTATGGGATTATGGGCAATATCACATGCTGCTTTGTTATCACAGTACAAGCTAATTGGACGAGCAGATGCAAATCCTAAATCTCCAAGAAGAAGATTTATCCATAATCC